CCCTGCCTAGAGACCAGGACCGCCAACCCCCTGCCAGAGCCTGTATCCCTCCTCGTGATTCTACCAATTCTAGGAGTCCCCAGCGCCCCGCCACCCTGAACAGGGACTCTAGGGTCCAAATCGGCACCGGCCCCTCATCCGGAAAGATCTACTATGACATCCTCCACCAGGGCCTCCCTCCGGCCTAACTCCCACGAGCCCAGGCTCCACCAGCCTCTAGAGCGCTCCCTCCCCTCCCCTCAGCAGACCCGGGGCCACAGCAGACCACTCAGGACCACTCTGGTCCTGGTCCCTCTGGCCTCCACAGCTTCACATGCTCCCTCTTCCTCAATCTTTCTGGAATTTTCCATCACCATCTAAATTTGTTCATTTCTTCCATTATAAAAATAAAACCAAATTCCCATCTCGTTCTCCTCCAGCCCCTTTATCTCCTGCCTCCTCCTGACGGCCCAACTCCGCAGGAACTGTCCACACCCCACTGCCTCCTCACCTCAGCGTCCCCGACGCTCGCCAGTGTCTGCCAAACCCACTACCCGACCGCAAGACTGGACCCACGCATCACTGGCGACTCCTTCCCGGCGCTTAACTTCTTGGCTTTGGAAATCACACCTTCTTGCTTTTTGGAGGTCCACCCCAGAGCACCGGGGGCATCGCCTGGTCCTCTCCACCCACTGCCCAGGCAGCCTGCTTCCTCATTCTGCACACACAGTAGTGGCGGTGTCGCTGTGACAGAGGCACCATGGCCTTCTGGGTCAGGGCTGGTGTCTGCAAAGCTTCGCTCTTCTGGGGATAGATACAGGACTGTGATTCAGACCTGCAGAAGCAGCTCTGGTCTCCCTGTCCCTCCCCTCCCCCCAAGTTGGCCCCCATGTGCCCTGCTCCCATGGGGCACTGTCCCATCAGGATGAGGGCGGAGGCCGGGCAGCAGCATGGTGCTTCTCTGTGTGAGCGCCTGACTTGGTGCTCTCAGGCACTGTAACGTGTCTGGGGAGCAGATGCGCTCATATGAGGTGTGCCGTCCCACCAGCACAGCAGTGCAAGGAAATACATAGGGTGGACAGGCACAGGGACCGCTTTCCCCAGGCAGGGGAGGGGACCCAGAATACCATGTCAGCCAGTCCTCTGGACATACCTGTTGGCCCTGGTGTTCTACCTGTAACTGGCTCTGCTGCTAAAAGTGACGGTGTGAGAATAATGAGGACAGATCACTTGGCACCTGCTGCGAGACCCTGACTCAAGTGTGTGGAGGAAGCAGAATCCTCCATTATTGATGGTGGCAAGGTAGAACGGTGTGTCTGCTTTGGGAAAGGCTCCAACAACCCCTCAAACAATTCCACGCAGAGTTTCTGCAGGAACTGCAACTCTACTCCCAGTTCCGTCGAGGAGAAATACACACACACACACACACAAACTTGTGTTTATAGCAATATTATTCCCAATACCCCATACTCATCAGGTGGAGAATGAATGCACACATGTAGTATGGAATACTATTCAGCCATAAACACTGACGCAACATGGATGAATCTTGAAAAGGTAATGCTAAGAGCCAGGCTCAACAGACTATATGTAGGATTCTACTCCTGTGGACATGCAGAGAGGAGCCCCGGGGGCCAGGCTGGGGTAGAGGGAGAAGGTGACGAAGGCTGTGGTGATCCCACCCCTCTGTGGAAACAGTACAAACCACCAAGTTGTGCACGTCAGTGGACAGCTGCAGTAAATGGTGCCACTCGGGCACTGACTGACTGTAAAGACACTCCTAGTCACAAGAACTGACTCCACTACTACACGCCAAGGTTGACCCTGTTTTTGTTCTATTTTTGGCAGGCCTCAGGCTTGCTAGACAAGTGCTTTATGGCCTGAGCATTCTGACAGCATGTGACTCTATATTTAAGAAGTCCCGGATGACAGAGCACATCAGGTACTTCTTACAGGATCCATCTGTGGGCTGATGGATCCTAACAAGCCTAACAAGCTTGAGACTGTGAGTTCAAACCCTAGTACCACCAAAAAAGGAAAAGCCAAATACAACAAGGTACAGTGATACATGCCAGTGCCTTTAGCTGTTCAAGAGACAAGAGTTGGAGCAGGAAGATTTCAAGTTCAAGACCAGATTTGGCAACGTTATCAAGATTCTTATCAAAAAATCAAAATAACTGGAAGCATGGCTCCTGATTCATTCCAGTCTTTCTCTCTCTCATACACACACAGAGGAACCACATATATTCATAAGAAAACATCTGGAAGGGCTGGGAAGGTGGCTCAGTGGTAGAGCGCTTGCCTTGCATGCCTGAGGCCCTGGGTTCGATTCCTCAGCACCACATAAGCAAAAAGAAAAAAGCCGGAAGTGGCGCTGTGGCTCAACTGGTAGAGCGCTAGCCTTGAGCTGAAGAGCTGAGGGACAGCGCCCAGGCCCAGAGTTCAGGCCCCATGACCGGACCAAAAAAAAAAAAAAAGAAAACATCTGGAAATATAGTCCAAAAAATCTAGTGGTTATCTCTAGGCGATGGTTTTACAGATGATTTTAGTTAAAAAAAAATTCTGAATTACCAATAATGTGATGCTTTTATATTGAAAACAGCAAATATGTTTAGTCACCCCTCCATCTGAACCACAGTGGGTTATGTGTGACTATGAAGGACTATGGCCAGCATGGTAGAACGCACGGTGGGAACCCAGGCTGCAGGAAGTGGATGGCTTACCCAGGTATCCCAAGCCCCAGGGCTTCCTGGGCTGTGGCCACTCTGCTCTGAACAAGGAGCCAGAGAGGCCAGTGCAGGGTCACCTGCCTGCCCCCTGCACAGAAGCCTTCTTGCGGTAAGACACATGCGGACTTAAACATACCACCGTGACCAGGCTTCCCTCAAGTCTTAACTCAGCACTAGTGGTGGTAGGGAATGGGCTCTGGGCAAACCTTGGGCACTGGACTATTGTTTCTGATAGGGATGCTGGAACTCCAAGGGAGTCCATTCTGCCTGTTCCATTGATTACCCCCAAAGACCTCCCACTCCCTAAGAGTAAGGACCTCCACAGCCCTAGCAGGGATCCTACAGAACCAGCCCAGAGGCATGCCCCGCGGTCCCAGAGGAGCAGCCCCAACTGTTCTATGGCCAGGAGATACCACGGTTCAGGCCCCCTGACTGCAGGTGGGGCAGACCCTGGAGCGGCCTAGCTACCTTGACCTGGGCAGGCAAAAAGTTTGCAAGGAGATGTGTACGTGCGTGCATGCATGCATGCACGCGTACCAATACAGCAGCTGGAACACAGGGCCTGGGCTCTGTCCCTTATCTGTTTTTCTAAATGTTGACACTCTACTACTAGCCACCGTTCCACTTCCTTTGTAGTTAACTGAAGATAAGTGCCTCGTGTACTTTCCTGCCTAAGCTGGCTTTAAACCTGTCCTCAAGATCTCAGCCTTCCCAACAGCTAAGATTACAGGTGTGAGCCATGGATGCCAGGGCTCTTTCTCAACAGAGCAACTGGCCAAGGGAATCAGAAGCCTTTCTCCACCGGAGACAAAGAAACAAAAACAAAAAAAAGTCCTAAGGTGTTATTACAGGCTGTACACCTCAAGACAAGGACAGAGTCTGCTCAGCCAGGTAGGACTCAGACAAGAGATCTAAACCTGTTAGATACCCCAGGAGAAAGGAGCAGTCCTGTCACCTGACAGCCCGTGGGTGAGCCTGATAGATCTGCTGGGAGCTGCGGGGCACTTACTGGGCTCAGAGACCTGATATTCTCACCACAGGGAGAAGGGCTCCCTAGAAGCTTCCTGAATGTGCTCAAGTTTCACCATGGGGTCAGTGACATGCCACCTTGCAAGTTCAACTCCGTGAGGCTAAACAACATCAGCGTGCACCTGCAGATGTGCAGTGATCAGCAGGGAGGTGGGGGGAGCGCTGCCAGGAGAGGGGGCGGCTCTGGCCTGCGAGAGACCCACCACCACCTCACACCACTGCCTGTCGGCTGGCAGCGATCTGCAGTTCTGCTATCACACAAAGCCTCGATGTGAGCGGGATGGGGGGGGGCTCACCCCCGTAATCCTAGCTACCCAGGAGGCTGAGATCGGAGGATCAAAGCCAGCCCGGCCAGGAAAGTCCAGAGGTGGAGCGGCGGCTCAAAGGGGAGGGCGCCGGCCGCGCGAGAGAAGGCCACGGGGCGGAGCCCAGGCCGGGCTCGGGTCCCCGGGTCACTCCGGCCACGGCAGTGCGCGCGCGCGCGTGCACGGGGCGGCCTGGGGGTCACCACTGCCTGGGAACCAAGCCTGCAGTCACTAACGGGGCCGGGGGCCGGCGGGGCCCGGGGCCGGCGGGCAGGGCCGGGCCGCGCGGGGTCACGCTGGGAAGCGGAGCTGTCGACGGCCCGCCGCCCCGGGCCGAGTCCTGGCGGGAGGGGACCTTCGACCTCGGCACTCGCCGCTGACCGCGGGGACGGACGCGGTCTGCGCCCCGCCCGGCTGCCGCGGCCGCGCGAACCGCAGCCCGCCGCACACGGCGCCCCCGCCGCACACGGCGCCCCCGCCGCACACGGCGCCCCCGCCGCACACGGCGCCCCCGCCGCCGGCCCGGGGGCGCCGCTCCCCAGGGCTCCGGGGTCTCCACGCGGCCGGCGGCCTCACCGGCCCGCGGGACCGGAAGCGAGGGCGGCCGGGAATCCTGGGTCACCACTCCCCACCCACCCTCGGCCCCCCGAACCCCCGACCCCGCCGGGCGGCGCGCGTCCGCCCGAGCGCGCGTGCCGGACGCGGGCCGCGGGCTGCGGTGGCGTGTGCTCACGTCATATGGGCCGCCCGCCTCCGATTGGCTGCGGCCGCCTCACCAGACCCAGTGCGGACGGGCGCGCGTGCGGGGCGGGGCTGGGCCGGGCCACGCCCCCGGGAGGCGCGCGCGGGCGGCGGGTAGGCCGGGCGAGGTCACGTGTTGCGGGCCCGCGGCCCGCTATATAAGCCGCGCGCCGGCTCGCCGCTGCGGCCGCGCTTGGGCCGTCCCCGGGCTCCTCCCGCTCCTCCTCCTCAGTCTCCTCCGACGCCGCCGCCGCCCCCTCGGCAGGTACGCGGCGGGACCGGGTGGGGGTCCGGGGCGCGGCCCGCCCCGCGCGGGGGACGGGAGACGCGGGCCGGGCGGGATCCGGGGGTCGCGGGGGCGGGCCGGGCGGGCGGCCTCCGGGCCTTTGTCCCGCCCGGGCGCCAACTCGCCCCGCGCCGTCCCGCAGGAGCGCCCTGCACGCGGCGGGCACGGATGCCCAGGCTGCACGACCACCTGTGGAGCCGCCCGTGCGCCGGCGCCGCCCGGCACCTCCGCCGCGCGCCGCGCGCCGCCCGCCCGGGAGGCATGATCGCCGCGGCCCCGCGCGCGCCGGGCCCCGCGCCCGCCGGGCCGAGCGGCCGCGCCGGCGGCCGGCATCGCCACCTGGTGCAGCGCGGCCTCGTGCTCTTCCTGGTCGGCGTGGTCCTGGCCCTGGTGCTCAACCTGCTGCAGGTCCAGAGGAACGTCACGCTCTTCCCGGACGAGGTGATCGCCACCGCCTTCTCCTCCGCCTGGTGGGTGCCCCCGTGTTGCGGGACGGCCGCGGGTGAGTGCCTCCCTCCTCCGGCGGGACTAGGGCGGGCAGAGGGCCCGGGCCCGGCCCCGCCGAGCCCCGTCCCGTCCCGTCCCTCGGGCGTCCGGTGACAGCGGCGCCCGCGCTCACCCCGCCGGCGCCCCGGGATTGGCCGCGCGGGGAACTGGTGAGGGCCGTGCCGCCCGCCGATTGGCTACTGGCGGGATGAGGAAAACAAACTCACGTGTTGTCGGGAGGGCGTCGGCGGGCGCCGCCTCCCCGCGCTGGCTTCTGCACCTGGCCCCGGCTCTGCGCGGCCACCTTCCCCTGCCACCAAGCCTGTGGCCCGGTCGCCTTTGACCCGCTTGGAACCCGTTCGTCCAGCATGGGCCCAAGCAGACAGTACAAGTTCTTGGTTATCACTTGGCTGGCTTTACAGAGACTGTGGGGTGACTGTGACCCTCCAGCCCCCCCGAATCCTTTGTAGTCAGGGCTCTCCGTGGCCCAGCCTCCGCCAGCTGCCAAGCACACCCCTCCACCTGTGAATCCAGAGACTGTCAGGGAAGCCTCCCTGACTCCACTAGTCACTTGGTGGCTTGTTCTTGCTGTGTGCATGCGTTCGGTGCACTGTTGGCTTGTCCCTCTCTGTACCGGGTTGTGCGTGGCTCCACATTCCACACGTAGGCAGAAGAGTGTGGTGTGCACTGCACTTGGTGTCCACAGCTACACGGCTGTGGTCAGCCAGTGCGCACGCCCTCTCCCCAGCCTAGGGCTCACCTGAATAGCCTGGGTAGGGCCTTGGGTGGACTGTGTTCCCCAGGCAGGATACCCTCCTGTGTAAGCAGTAAGCATAATGAGGTGGTTGCCCTGCTGTCAGAAAGGATCCTAACTTTTTCTCTAAGAACTTTAAGGGTTTGATGATATACAAACCAAACTAGGAAGAGCTCCGGGACCTTGCGCTTGGTGGGCGAGTAATCCACCAACGCCAGCCCAACCCTTGAAAGTTCTCTGGAGAAGTAGATCCGCATTTGAAGTTCAGTTTCCTTGAGCATAGTAGTTCTTTCTTTGAGCCCAAAATCTGATCTTCAAAATGAAATGCTTAGAGGCATTTTGCCAGGGATTCCATGAGTATCTCAGATGATTCCTCCTAGTCCTGGCTGAATGTTGGATCAGGTCTGCAGCTCTGTTTCACCGTTGATGCCCAATTCCTTCCTGTTGGGCTAGGTGAATGGAAGACAGCCCGGCTACCCAGGGCCCACAGGCCACACCCCACTTGTGTCTGGACAGTCTGTATTTGCTCACTGTTGTCTCTGCTTCACTTTTCACTTTTGGAACACCACACCTTCCTGTTGTACACATGTTTTTCAGGATTCTGTGAAGGCATCCTAGATGTGGGCTGCGAGGTTCTCTGTCCTCTGTCCTCCAGTTACATAAGCCCCATCAGTTCACACATGAGGACACAAACATGAGGAGTCACGTCCACCAGGAGCAGCCTGGCGCCAGCAGCCCAGTTTTCCCTTCCTGGTCTGAGCCCCCCTCTCCTTGGTGGGCGTGGCCACAGGGGGACAGGGAAAGCTCTGCCCCTAACCCTCCCCCCAAAACACACACACACACACACACGCTCTCCTCTGCTAGTAGAGCCCCTTAAAACAGTCCAGTGCTCCTCAGGGCTTCAGGCCCAGCCCCATACTGAGGTCAGCACCAATGCCACAACTACAAGGGCTTGCACAGGAACTCCAGGGTGTCTACCTTCCCACTGTGAAAAGGAATCACTTGATGAAAGTAGAACGTGGAGCCAAGTCAGTCAGAAAGCTGAGACTCTATCCTAGTCAATGGCTAGGCATAGTGCCCCTGCTGTCATTTTCAGCTACCTAGGGAAGTCAAGAGTAGAAAGCAGGCTAGCCTGGGCATCAAGCGAGACTACTTCAAAAATAATGCAAATGAGGGCTTGAGGTGTGGCTCAGGTGGTAGAGCACCTGCCTAGCAAGTGTGAGGCACTGAGTTCAAAGAAAAAAAATATTGTTCAGTCATATTAGTTTTGTCTACTTAAGGAAATAGCATGTTGTGTATTTCAATACTGTCTTTGTTCACCATGGATAATCAAGTCCTTGATTCATGTACATATTCTAACTCGCCCAATAACTTTTTTCTCAAACTTTTCAAGATTGTGTGGGGATTGGGATACTCGGCATGTACAAGAATATGAAATGAGATATGTGGTGGTGGCTAGCCTGGCTTGGGTGTTGGCAGGGACTGTGAGAATGTGCATTAACGCTCCCTCCTCTTGGCAGCGGTGGTCGGCTTGCTCTACCCCTGTATGGACCGTCACCTCGGCGAGCCTCACAAGTTCAAGAGAGAGTGGGCCAGCGTCATGCGCTGCATCGCCGTCTTTGTGGGCATTAACCACGCCAGCGCCGTATCCTTCCCCAGCCAGCCTCAGCCCGAGCACGTAGTGAGGTCTTGTGTCGAAGAGTTTCATTACTTTCTCTGACCGCTTTGGCCATTCCTTCAGGTCTCGTCAGGAAGCACTAGGAGTGACTGTCATTCTCAGAAATCCACCATTCCTGGCTTCCTTCTGTCCTTCCAGCTTGCGCCCTCGTGGTTCCTCTGGCTACCAGGCCGTGGGGCGTGGCCACGGGCCCTGCCTCCCCTCAGACCCAGCCCCGTCACGGGAGGCCACCGGAGGCCCTCGGCATCGGTGGGCACATCCACCCTGCACGAGGTGCTGCATGTCTGCGCACAGTGCCCTGTTCAGGAAAGTGGTCCTAGGTTTCCTAGGAAACGCTTAGCAGGCAGGGTTTCCTTAGAGCCGGTGAGAGGGCGAGGTGCTTCCACGGGACAGCCACGCCCCACACCGGCCCGCCGCGAGGCTCGCTGTTGAGGGGCTGCTGGACAGGCGCCTCTAGCAGGTGGCAGATGTGGAGGGAGTCGTGTTGGTTGCAGATTACTGAACAAGAAAGGAGGGAAACAGTAAAGGCTTCATAGTGAAATAACGTGGTCACTCGCCCTGTTTATATCTGTAGCTGTTACCGATGGTGGATTAATAGTAATAATAATAATGCTGTATAATAAACACCTGATAGTTTTTGTGGGCTTATCTTTCCTGTCCTATGAAACTTTTCCTTAACTTGTGCCTGACCAGAAACTGGACTTTGCCAATAATGTTCAGCTGTCCCTGACCCTGGCAGCGCTGTCCCTGGGCCTGTGGTGGACCTTCGACCGCTCACGGAGCGGCCTGGGCCTGGGCGTCACCATCGCTGTCCTTGCCACGCTCATCACCCAGTTTCTTGTGTACAGTGGCGTCTACCAGTAAGTGTGTGTGTGTTCTTGTGTACAGTGGCGTCTACCAGTAAGTGTGTGTGTGTGTGTGTGTGTGTGTGTGTGTGTGTGGATGGATGCCCCAGCCTTGGTGACACACTGTTCACCTAGGTGTTTCCCTGCTTTAGTGAGCCTACGCAGATAGATGCAGGTGGGAAAGGCTCAAGGCACTGCTGCTTTTCTGGGTTCATTAAAAAGGTGCTGCCCCGGGAGCCGGTGGCTCACGCCTGAAATCCTAGCCACTCAGGAGGCTGAGATAGGAGGATCATGGTTCAAAGCCAGCTTGGACAGGAAAGTCTGTGAGACTCTTATCTCCAATGAGCCACCAGAAAACTGGAAGTGCTGTGGTTCAAGTGATAGAGGGGTAGCCTTGAGCAAAAAAACGTGACCCCGAGTTAAAGCACTAATACTGACACGCAAAAGAATGAATGAATGAATGAATGTACTGTCCACAACTTGATATGAAGGAGAGGCGGGAGAGCACTGTGGACCTCTCGAAGCCCTTTCTGGTTGGGAAGCGCCCTGTACACCCTGTTGCCAAAGCCCAGGTAGACCGACTGCTTAAGGCATCGTTTTCCCTCCAGGTACACGTCGCCAGATTTTCTCTACATTCGCTCGTGGCTTCCGTGCATATTTTTCTCAGGCGGCGTTACAGTGGGGAACATAGGACGGCAGTTAGCGATGGTGAGTACCTCCTGGCTGGGTGTGGGTGGGTCGGTATGTGCAGCGGAGCGTGTGTCAGGGTACGCCTAGTTCAGTGTGAATGGCATCACAGCATGGCGTGTGTCGGGGTGCGCCCAGCCCAGTTCAGTGTGAACGGCATCACAGCATGGCGTGTGTCGGGGTGCGCCCAGCCCAGTTCAGTGTGAACGGCATCACAGCATGGCGTGTGTCGGGGTGCGCCCAGCCCAGTTCAGTGTGAACAGCATCAGACTCGGTGGCCGCGCCGCGCCGCGCACAGCCTGAGGTTTCACTCTGCTTCTGTCCTGAGTCTGCTTTCCTTGAGACACCAACCACTTGGGCTCACCATGCAGACAATCACAAAGCCTGACGTGAGGGTCGGCAAGAGTGGTGGTGGGCAGGGGTCCCATTTGGTGTTCTAGGGGTGACGGCAGGTGTGCCCATTGTAGTGGAGGCTGAGGTGCAGAGGAGGCTTGCAGGGAAGCCTGCCTTCCTCAGGTAAATGGCTCCGTCCAGGCTCCTGTGGCATGGTCCTGCAATCCCAGCTGCTGAGGAAGCTGAGAATTGCCATTTGAAGCCAGACTGGCAGCAAAATTGGTTAGAATCCATCTCCAATTAACCAGAAAGCAGGGCTGGCGGTGTGACTCAAGTGGTAGAGTTCCAGCTGACACAAAAGTTAAGTAGACCATGGTACTAGGAATTTTTTTTTAATTCTGAGTTGGAGCTTTCCTATGGGGCATCAGCCACGGGCAGAGTGCACCCCAAGCCCACCTACCCAGGGCCCTGTGTGCGAGCCTGCACTGTGAGGACCTGCTTCATTGACGGCGGGAGCCTTGGCACTCGGTACTGACTGGTCTTTTTCTCTGTTCACGTAGGGTGTTCCGGAGAAGCCACACAGCGACTGAGCAGGGCCCGGCCGCTGGGCAGATGCTCTGGACACCGGGCTGACCGCTAACGACTCCTGGAAGACGTCCACTTAGTCTGGCATAGCCAGACAGAGATAAGAACTCGTGACCTGAGGTCTCACCTGCCCTGCCCGCCCCGCCCCTGTGGGTGCCACGCAGGACAGCTGGGCACCGGCCCTGGGGGGCGGGGGCAGTTTCCCAAGTATTCGATTTCATTCATGCTATTCAAAACAAGTTGCCATATTTCAAACCTTTGAACTAGAACTTGAACTCAGTTACCAACAGCAGTTTTATGTCAGTGCCCAAAGGAGACAGGATGATGGTGCTTAACAGAGACCACGCGTGTGGAACGGAACTGTGTCTCCAGAAAAATTTAACATAGGGTTGTGTGGAAATGGCATCGCAGCAAGAGGAGAGATGGGCGGGAGGCGTGGCGGTGCCTCCGGGCGCGCTGCCGGCATTGCTGCGGCCCACGGTGGGCACCGCCTTCCTGCTGCCCGCCGGCCTCGTGCAGACAATCGCCGGGAGACTGGACGTGGTGATGCGTAGTGGCGCAACACTCTCACCCTTGTGAACGCCTGTGCGCGTCCGGTCTTGGGGCACCAACCCCTCCCCCCCGCCCCGCCCCTGCTGCCTTGTTGGCCCAGGCTGGCGGGGTGGCGTTTGCCCACAGCCCTATGGGACCTGCAATCTGTGATTGCCTGTAAAAAGAAGAGCGCTTGCCACTGTGTCCCACGCGTGGCGTGCTCCGTGTCCAGTGGTGGTGGTGAGCACGGTGTATTCGTTGAATGGCATAGACCATATTGGACCTGATTTGCAAGTATTGGGTCTTAAACTTCAAGTGCAATGTCTATGAAAACCAATCTGAGCCTTGTATTCTCTTAAATATTTATTTTTTTTAAATGCGTGAGGTGTTCATTTCAGAGCCGCGCAGGGCGGGCTCCTTCCTGTGGGTCTCGCTGAGCCTGAGTCCTCCGGCGGACTCCTTTTATGGGCTTAGTCATTTTTACTTACAAATGTACTTTTTTTGTACTTGGCATTGTTTTGAATTCTGCGGGAGTGACTCGCTGGGAAGGCAGGCGGCTGTGGGGGTGCAGCACCCCAACACCCACCCCTGCCAGCTGACGGCAGCTTCCCTTCCCCGGGACCCTTGTTCGAGTTTTGCATATTTTGTTTTGAGACGATACCTTGAAATAATCTTGAGGTTTTCAAAACTAGTTTTTGTTTTTGTTTTATAGAGGAATTTTGTTTAAAAAGAATAGATCTTCTGAGTTTCAGAGTGACCCCTTAGAAACTTTCTGAACCTGAAAACATGTTTTAGTGAGTGATGTCAGCAGTTGATGGCATCAGCAGTCAGTAGAGCAAGGCAGCGAGCGAACCTCAAGGACGTACATAGTGTTCTTGCCTCTTAGACTGGAAGTATGAGTTAGAAATAATGTAGCCAAACAAGGTGAATCTGAAGAAATTGTTTGCCAATAGTTCATAGCAAATACTGTGAACCAAAGTGATTTAAATTTTTAAAACTATAAAATCATGGACAAAAGTTGCACTCTCCCAGCTCTGAACGGCTAGTGAGATTCACATTCACCCTAAGTTTCCGACATTGTGTTCTTTCTGCATTTTTTACTTTTATTAAAGGTTCAAAACCAACTGTTGTGTTGATGAGTTTTTCTTTGAAAACAAAGAAGGATTAATACCTTTCATGTAGACTTTTGCCTTTGTTAATAGGAAAATGTTTCCAATTCGTGGAGTTTTACAGGCTCCGCCCTGGCCTCTTGGAAGACAGATGAACCCAGTTCCATGGTTGGAAGCCAGCTGCGGTCAGTGGCGCTGAGCCTGCTCTCCGGAGGTCAAGGTTGGCAGGCGGCGGAGGCCGCGCTCCTGGCCAGCGCCTTGGAGTTTGGCATGGTGTTCTGGTACCCAGCCCCAGGTCTCCACAGGCCTGCTGCCTGTCACAGCTGGAGCTGTGCTCCCAGGGGTTGGGTCGTGCGGAGCCTGCTCCGAACAGCATCTTGTTTCCACATTCATGTCACCACTGATGGCAAGATGTTACACTGAGCCCAGGACATATATGGTACAAGTTGGAGCCAGTACATCCAAGACATGGTGTATGGGGGCGCTGGACCTCCAAGGTCGCACTGGAGATGGGCACTGCCGGGGAGGAATGGGACTCCAACCCTGAGGTCTACAGGAACTAGTTTTTCTCTTTAAACAGTGTGGCGCTGTCCCTGCGCTCTTCAGCTCAAGGCCAGCACTCTACCCTCTTGAGCCATAGTGCTCCAAAATTGCTGGTTTCCAAAACTGTTTGCAAACACTTGTAGTCCTTGAGCAAAAACGAATGAATTACGCCATGTGTGGAAGGTGATTTGCAGAACTCCAGGTTTCTGCCCCCTTTTCTCCTGTGGTGCTGTGCCTGGGATGGGATCTGGCATGGGGAGGGGGGGGTGGAGGGAGGGAGGAGGGCTGACTTCCCCTGGGAAACCCCCACCCGCTCAGGAAAAGCTGAGAAACTCTCCACAATGTCATCATATAGTGGTCGGGATTGTGGGCATGTCCTGTGACCTGTTTTTTTTTTTTTTTTTTTATTGTAAAGATACTATACAGAGGGTTACAGTTACATGAGTGAGGTAATGAGTACACTTCCTCTTGAACATTGTTACCCCCTCCATTGTTTTCCCCCTACCATCCCCTCCCTCCCTCCCTTCCCCAAGGTTCCTTTTTTTTTTTTTTTTTTGATTGTGATTAAGTGATTACATAATTTCAAAGTCACAAGTTCATTCTAACTTTCCTGGAGCAAATTGTCTATCACAGTCTGTAATATATAACAGTGTTCACATGTTATATACCATATTTGTGATCAGCAGCATGGGGATATTTAGTAGTAGTTCAACCAGATGAGCGGGAGTTCTTTGTTTCTTAAGTCCTGTTAGTTTTGTCGTATCACCTAACATTTTGGATTTAGCATCCACTTATCAGGGAGACCATGTACCGTTTGTCTCTTCGTTCTTGGCTTACCTCGCTCAACATGATTCCTTCTAGCTCCATCCATTTCCCTGCAAATGCCATTATTTTGTCATTTCTAATGGCTGCATAATATTCCATTGTGCTGTGACCTGTTTTTAAAAATGGCCTGTGAGGTGCGTGACTCATGCCTGTCATCCTATCTACTCAGGAAGCTGAAATCTGAGGATCATGATTTGAAGCCATCCAGGGCAGGAAAGTCTAAGATGCATCTCTAACCACCAAAAAGGCAGAAATGGAGCTGTGACTCAAGTGGTAGAGCACCAACCTTGAGCAAAAAAGCTAAGGGACATCCAGGCCGTGAGATCAAGCCCCAGAACCAACACACACACACACACACACACAGAGTTGCACTATTTAAAATCTAAACTTGCCTTTCTACTCAGTAAGTTTGACAACCTGTGGCAAAGATTTCCTTCCTGAGTTGCAGACTCCTTTTCTAACAATGTAACAGTGCAGCAGGAAGCCTTAGCATTGTAAAGTATGAATGACCAGTGCAGACCTCTGCGCGCCCACCTGCAGCGGGAGCCCTCCCCAGGAGAGTGCTCATGCCAGCAGGCAGGCAGAAAACGAAAAGGAGGGCTGGGAAGGTGGCTCAGTGGTAGAGCGCTTGCCTTGCATGCCTGAGGCCCTGGGTTCGATTCCTCAGCACCACATACACAGAAAAAGCCAAGAGTGGCGCTGTGACTCAAGTGGTAGAGGGCTCGCCGTGAGCTGAAGAGCTGAGGGACAGCACCCAGGCCCAGAGTTCAGGCCCCACAACCGGCCAAAAAGGGGGGGCCCCCAAGGTGCCTGATGAGTCCCAAGTCCTGACACTCACACAGCACTGGATTTTCTGTAAATGTCATAAGACTCAACACTGGATGTTCTTGACGTTTACCCAAATACCTCCTTGGACCCCAGCATAAAGTAAGCTCTTGGTAAGCACAAGTTTCCCTCCTCCCCGGGATTCTCCTGGAGAGAAGAAATGTACCGAGTCAAGAGTCACATGTACAGGAATTCCAGTCAGGTGTGTCATGTTCAAGAGCAAACGGTAGGTCGGGTATGGCGATGCGTGCTGATACTCCCAGCTACTCAGAGGCAGGGGGGAGACTCGAGGTCCTCCTCCTGCGCCGGGGTCAGAGCCAGGGCCTGGCAGGCGCTCCGCGTGCGCGGCGTTCCTCACACAGGCCCACTGTTCTCGAGCTGTGATGGCCACCTCGTGCTAGAGAAGCCTGGAGTGCATGTGTGTGAACACCCGCACGTGCACACACGTGTGGACACAACCATGCCCTCCGCTTGTGTGTGCAGATACCCACCCATGTGAACACCCACCCACGAGCACACACCTGCTCAAGTGCACACAGACTCGCACACCTGCTCATGTGCGCGTGCACCTGCCCACCTGCGCTCCACCTCCTGGGCCCAGGCTGTGGTCTCCAGCCCGCAGCCCAGCCCAGGGACGGCACCTCTGTGCGGTTGACGGAAGGCTGCCCCGCAGCTCTCCTGCCTGTGTGGGGCGGCCGGCCACTCGCTCCCGCAGAGGACCGTGACACTGTCACAAGATCTAGGGTGTCTGTCGGGAGGGGGCCCCCACACAACACAGCACCCCAAACTCACCCCAAGCCACGCACCTGCAGTGGGAGAGGCCGGTGCATGCCGTGCACGCCACGCCCACGGGCTGAGCCACAGCGGCGGCTGGTGAGGACCCCTGAGCACCCCTGCTCCACCACTGGGCGGCCGCCCCCTCCACGTGCCCCTGCACGTGAGTCCTGCTCACAGAGGGTGAAGGCACCTGACTGCCTGAGCCACGGGCCCCGCTCTTTGAAGAAGACTGCAGGGGGGAGAGGTGGAGGATGGGGACTGAGGATGGGGGACGGGGGCTGAGGATGGGAAGGGGGCTGTGGATAGGGGACGGGGGCTGAGGACAGGGGACAGGGTTGTCACAACTCCCACGGCTGTGGACACAGGCTGGGGAGGCCGGTGGCCTTCTCTGCCGTCAGTGAGGGGAAGGTGCTGGTCTTCATGAATGCGGTTCTGATTACGTTGGTTCCCACTTGGCAGGGTTCTGTGTGTTAGGAGATCAGCTCATCTCTCTGCAGCGGGCCCTGGGGGCAATAGACACAGAGCCCTGGCAGGCTGTGCCCCGCACCCCCTTGGAGGGGCGTTTGCAATCCACTCCTCTGGCCTCAGGCCATTGCTTTGTTTTCCCCAGAGACAAATCCAGAGACATCCCCCATCTCAGGACCAGTGGCCGGGCACCCTCCTGTCATCTGAAACGGGGTGACCTTCAACAAGCAAAAAGCCAACAAAAACTAGACCTGGGGGGCTGGGAAGGTGGCTCAGTGGTAGAGCACTTGCCTTGCATGCTCAAGGCCCTGGGTTCGATTCCTCAGCACCACATAAGCAAAAAGAAAAAAGCTGGAAGTGGCGCTGTGGCTCAAGTGGTAGAGCGCTAGCCTTGAGCTGAAGAGCTGAGGGACAGCACCCAGGCCCAGAGCTCAGGCCCCACGACAGGAACCCCCCCCCCCCCCCCCCGCAAAAAAAAAATTGACCTGGTGTCGCCCCGCCCACTTTGCTCCCTCCCCAGCGGAGGGCGGAGGAAGAGGGTGGGAGCCCCTGGCCCTCCACCACCTACCCCGCCATCCCCACTGCTGTCCCGAGCTGACCTCCCGCCCGGCAGACCCCCCTTCCCCTGGCTGCCTCCCCAGCCCTAGACACTCTGCTGGGATCCCCACACTGAGCCCCAAACGCTCATCATAGGCCCGCACCCTGGCCCAGCAGCACAGAGCCAGCCCCCGGCCCTGCCTTTCTGATGTCACTCAGTGAGCACTGAGGGCCTAGCACTTTCTGCCACCCGCCAGGGTTCAAAGCCCCGAGGTCCAGCAGCCCAGCCCCCTCGCAGGCCTCTGAGCTCCGCTTCCTTTCCCTGAGAGTGAGGGCTCCTTCCAGCCCTGCCCAGCCCCCTCCCCCCCCACACCTGAGACCAGAGCTCTACCCTCCCCCACATAGACTTGAGATGATGGCTTCTCAGGGCCCCGCTTTCTTTATCTGTAAAATGGGCATCATAGTCAGGATGGCCAAGAAGGGATGTGTGGCTCATCTTCACCATCAGCACTGACGCCACCACCACCATCAGCCCACACTGAAGTGGACATCTTGGTTCTGGGCCCACTGACCCCCACCACGCCACCCGTTGGGAGGAAACTTCCTGCAGGGCGCTGAGCTGGGAAGGGCACAGCTGAAAGCTGGAGCCTGGGAAGTGCACAGCGGAGGAGCTCACCATCACACACCCAGAGCCCAGGGCCGGGGCTGGGACAAGGCCTCCGCTCCCGAGCCCCCCGAGCCCTGCCTCCGGCTCCCAGGGACATCCTGGCTGCACCTGGAAGACAGTGCTGCTGGCCGGCTGTCAGTCACGGAGGGCTCCGAAGTGAGAAGAGGCCAAGCTTCCCGCCACCCGTGGGGGGAGGCGGAAGCTCACCGCCGGGGAGTCGTGTGGCCTGTGTTTTTGTTTCACGTGTGCGAGTTATAGCGCAGTGTTTTGTTTGTTGACTTCCACGATAGCCATCTTGTTCACCTCGGGCTTGGCACAGCTAGTGCCGAGAGGCGCTTTCCATCTGCAGCCCTGAAACGGCGTGAACTTGACTCCA